CGGTAACCGAGAAATACCGAATATATTACGGACAAAATTTATTATTGAATCGTTATAGAGAGCTATTGAATCGTTATTTGACCACAGAAGTGATAGTATCTCAATGGAACGTCTACACGCGCTACGCAAGGTGGTCGCGAGTTCGACTGTTGTGGGTCTTTCTTTTTTCATGTACATATTTTTGCAAAAAAAAAAGGATATGCGAAGATGAGGACTCGAACCTGCGTCATACTACTGACAGAAGTACATGGTTATCACCAGGCCACAGCTGGCTCTGATTATATTTTTGAGATGTTGCTTTATACTAGTGTATGTTGGAGGTAAAAATTGAAAAATTTCGGCATTTTTTGCTCGGGATATGACTTTCCCGTGGGGCGGCGAGAATCTCAGTAACTGCGCGGTAACCGTTTTTTTCGGACAGTACCCAAAACCATGGTCCTAGCCAATACACTTCTTTCTCTCTTTCTGCCCAATACGCGTGCACGTACGAGAACTGTACCGATCCTACATGGCATGCTCGAGAGGCTGCCCAGAGGTTCGCTCTTGGAGAGTGTAATGTGCATATCTGTGTATCAGACCCATCTCGAGCATGCCATGTAGGATTGGTACAGTTCTCGTACGTGCACGCGTATTGGGCAGAAAGAGAGAAAGAAGTTATAGTTGAGGTTGTAGCCACCTTCTACATCATATGTATGTGCGATTGCATCTAATCAATACATCGTATAATTTCATCCTTTTTTTTAATAAAAAGGTAGATAGATTTCTACCTTATGCATTCAAAACGGGCCAAGGGTCCGGATGACATGAGTCATTTTCATGAAGGTCGTGTAATTCCATCATCATACACTGACTTAGTACCACGGGTGGTGTATTATACTACAATTTCATTTCAGGTGCGATCGATCGACGATCAGTTTAATATGGATGGTACTACACTACTAGGCTAGTATATATGGTTTGGGAGAAAAAAGACGCATGCAAAAGGCGAAGATGGGGATGCCATAAGCACATGCATGCACTGGACTGGACCAAAGGAAAGGATAGAGGGAGTGGTTCGATCGGGCAGTTGGGTTGTGTGTTGGATCGGTTGGCTTCGCACTCCCTTTTGCCCAATCGCCCGTCGCCATTGCTATATCATCCCTACCACGCCGTGCTTTCCCCCAACACTCACAACCACTACAAACCTGCTGCACCAACTGCTTCGTCTCGACCACCTCTACCTCTAGCTCGCTCTTACTCCTTTCCTTTCCTTTTCCACGCTCTCGCCAACAATCCAAGCTACACTAGTACCTAACCAAGTGTAGAGAGGAGGATGCCGAGGTCATGGAGACCGGTGCTGGCGTCGGCAACCAAGTGCTGCAGCTCCGAGGACGCCGTGGTGGCCGGGAACGGGCTCACAAGCTGCCGCCCGGCACGCTCCGAGTTCTCACGCCGTCTCGCCTCCTTCCGCCGCCTTTCCTCCATGACCAACAGCCCCGCCACGCCCAGGGACGGCAAGGACGACGAGGCCGCCGGGGGGATGGGCATGGGCCCCATGCAGCTGCACTCCTTCAGCCTCAACGAGCTCCGCGGCGTCACGCACGACTTCTCCAGCGGCTACCTACTCGGGGAGGGCGGATTCGGCACCGTCCACAAGGGCTTCGTCGACGCCGGCATGCGGCCCGGCCTTGAGCCCCAGCCCGTCGCCGTCAAGCAGCTCGACATTGCCGGCCACCAGGGCCACAGGGAGTGGCTGGTAATATAATCCTTGCCCGCTGTTTACGTACGGTTGTCAGATTCCTAGTCAGTCCTCCAGACCAACCCTAACTAACTAGTAATTTGATTGCATGGGGATGGGGTTGCAGGCCGAAGTGATCTTCCTTGGGCAGTTCCGGGACCAGCACCTGGTGAAGCTACTCGGGTACTGCTGCGAGGACGAGGAGCGCCTCCTCGTCTACGAGTTCATGCCGCGCGGCAGCCTCGAGAACCACCTCTTCAAAAGGATATCCGCGACGCTACCGTGGGGCACCAGGCTCAAGGTCGCCATCGGCGCCGCCAAGGGCCTCGCCTTCCTCCATGGCGCCAAGCAGCCCGTCATCTACCGGGATTTCAAGGCGTCCAACATCCTCCTCGACTCGGTACGTTCCGTCCTTCACGAAGTGGCATGCATCATCGAATTGGATCGATCTACCGGCAGTCTCGTAATTAAAGTTGTGTGTGTAACTGATCGTCGACCGGTGGAACTAACAGGAATTCACGGCGAAGCTGTCAGACTTCGGACTGGCCAAGATGGGTCCCGAGGGGGAGGACACGCACGTCACCACCCGCGTCATGGGCACCCACGGCTACGCGGCACCCGAGTACGTGCAGACAGGCCACCTCACAATGAAGAGCGACGTGTACAGCTTCGGCGTGGTGCTGCTGGAGCTACTCACGGGCCGCCGGGCCATGGAGCACATACGCGGCCGGGGCGCGCACGCTAAACAGACCATCAAGCTCGTGGAGTGGACCCGGCCCTACCTCGCCAGCAGCCGCCGCCTCCGCTGCATCATGGACCCTAAGCTGGCGGGGCACTACTCCGTCAAGGGCGCGCGCGGGCTGGCGCACCTGGCGGTGCAGTGTACCAGCGCGCAGCCCCGGGACAGGCCAAGCATGGTCGCTGTGGTCGAGGCGCTCGAGCGGCTGCAGGGGCTCAAGGACATGGCCGTCAGCATCGGGCTCTGGCCCACCACGCCCGTGGCCGGGAGGAACGCGCTCTCCGCCAAATTTCGAGCCGAGATGGAGGGTGCCGGCACCGGCAGCGGTGCTGTCTTGAGGCGCAGAAGCGCGTCCGCTAAGCTGCCGTGATCTGCTTGCCACGTCCACCTACCTGCCACGACGTTTTATCGCGCATTGTATGTGCGCCTGTTGTACGTGTGTAAAAAAACCTTACTTTGTACTCGAAGTCTGAAATGAACCTAGAACTCCAAATCTTTGAAATCAGCACCCTATCTTATCTAATCCCGGTTTATCCCGGCTCTTCTTGGCTGAGAAATTGTTTGTCTCCGCCGGGATTGCACACGTGGCAGAGATGTGGCAATCACAGCCAGCCGGTGTAAGCATGGTGATGATTTGTAGTAGAAACTTTGATGGTTGTTTACGAACAAGCACACATGCCACTTCTTTGCTTGATGGTCTGAAGGTGGTGATGATTTGTTCTAGTACATTTCTACAGAAGGCATGAACCCTTTATTAGCATGTGAACTTAAGAGGCTAAGAGCTGCTGAACTACTCTCTTATTTGTTAGAATAAATCCGAGGCGCGGCGTCGCATGTTCATATAAAATCATTTGGTCTGGTGGCTACATGTTTTTTCAAGTGTTGCATCAAGATGTTCAGTCTGTTGGTGTGAAGGGTTGCTTGACTTTGTAGCAAAATGCCAAGTTGATGAAGATGGACTTGTGCGGCAAGGGCGGCGTGCGTATAAGGCTCGGGAAGAGTCTGGAGTGTGTAGTGAAGGATCATGCATATACAAGGCGTCCAAGGAAATGCACAGATGTGCGAGGCGGACACAAAGCAGGGTGGAGCATGGTGCAGTCGGATAATTTCGGCTGGGTCGGATTGGACAATTTGATGGATCGGTAGGGATGTCGGTCAAAACAAAAGACAGCGGTGATTTCAGCGACAACGACATAGGAGCGTGATGCTGATGGTGATCGACTTCTGGGGCATGGAAACACGTGGTGCAAGCCTAAGGGCTTGTGCGATTTCGACAGACTTTGGCGTGGGGTTGATTCAAGACGATGCACATGAGAGCTTGGAGTCGACAGGGCGCGGGAGGGTGGCACGTACAACCACCATGGAGTCATGTTGAAGGTGGAGTTGGAGTCTGATGGATGTGATACGGAGCATCCCACGTTCATCCCCATGTACACTCCGATTACTCTCCAAGCCCCAAGGGTACATAAGATGAGACCTCGACTATATACCATTGGACACAAGGTGAACTTGCTCCTCTCCGAACTTCCACTTTTCACATGTGAGACATGGCTACTACCTCAAACTTGTGTGCTATGCATGTCCAGGAACTAAGAGGAAGCCCATGGACCAGAAGGTAAGGACACCAAGCACGAGGAACAAGAAGAAGGGCTACGGAAGAAGCTCCAGCCACCAGACGACCGGCCGGGACCGGACGTCCGACGCCTGAAGACCCACCGGACGACCGGCGATCCCGCACCCGAGCCAAAATGAGCGGACGTCCGACAAGTCCCGGACATCCAACACACTCCAGCATCCGGACGTCCGACCGCCCCCGGAAATCCGGCGCCACCTCATCCGAGCCAAAACGCCGGACGTCTGACAAGTACCGGACGACCAGACCCTCGCGAGCCACCGGACGTCCGGTACCTATCGGACGACCGGCCCCTGGCTATGTCCTGTGTTGCGGGCCGAAGCCCATGTACCCTTCACTTACCCCTTCGTGTCCCTAGACTATATATACTCCTCTATCACCTCCTAGTTAGGGTTAGTAAAGTAGTAGCTCATTTAGAGATAGAGCTTTGCTCATCCATTACGGATTTACTCCACGAGAGAGACTGCAGCCCCTCTTCGGAGAAGATCCACCTTGGATTCAAGACCCCCTTGTAGGAAGATCCTTCTAGGATTCAAGCCCCCATCTCCTTTGGATTTGGGATGAACTCTACCATCAAGACCTCCTCATGGAGATGAACCTTACATTGGATCTTTCGCTTTGTTGTTCATGTACCTTGTGGATCTTGTGTGTTTGATTGTCTAGTGGATGTGTGATTGGACTTGTTCTTGAGTGTTTTCCTTTGTGTTTTCTCTTTGTTCTTCCCCGTGTTCTTCATGTTCTTCGCGGGATCTGCTCCTTTCGTGAAAGATCGGCCACATAGGGTTTCACCCTACATCATCTTGGTATCATGAGCCACGTTGATCATGATTTCGGAGCCTCCCCTCGTTGTTTTCTAGCCTAATTTTGTTGTGTTCTTCCCCAATTTCGAAAATCCCCACCAAAAATAGCCTCAATTTTTTTTGTGATTTGTTGGTTTGACGAAGTTTTGTTGGATTTGCTTGGTTTCAAGTGGATCTAGCATTTCCCCACTTTCCATCCATGAAACCTCCTCTATTTTGACCCCAAAATCCCCAAATTCCGCCCAAAATCGCGTCCCGGATCTGAAATTTCGCGTTGACCCCGACCCACCGGACCACCGACCTTTTACGGACGTCCGGAGCCCCTGGAACGACCGGACGTCCGACCTTTTCCGGACGACCGGAACCCCTAATCCGAGCCTAATTTACGGACTTCCGAGCCCTCCCGGACATCCGGCCCCCGGACATCCGACCTTGTCCGGACGTCCGTAACCTGTAGATATCACATTCGCTCAAATTTTGTTTTGGCCATAACTAATTCATCCGAACTCCGATTTTGACGTTCTTTAGCTCGTTGAAAAGCTCTTCACATCCTCCTTCCCAAAAAAATACCACCAACATCATTTGACTCCATCAAAATTTTGAAACTTTGGCATCTTTGCCTAGGGCTTCCACCACATCATTCGCTACACCACCTCCGCATTCCCGCTACCACCATTTGACATTTGACATTTGAGATTTTGAGTTCACGGTTTTTCTGTTTCCTAAGGTGTTTCGGCTACTTAGGGACGAGGCTCCATCATCTTGGTATCTCCATCAAGATCACTGCCACTCATCATCGACACGGACGGTAACCTCCGTATCATCTTGGTATCGTGGTATCCCTCCATTGTATATTCCCTTGCCATTGCATTGATAACCCCTAGCCCATTTTGCGTCACTTGCCTATCGAGACTAGCCATTTGAGTATTGTCGGCAACGTTAGTTGTGCACATTAGTGATCTACACCATACATTGCATATATATCGTATCATATTGGTATCATCATATCATCTCTTGTGCCTCAAGTTTGTTTCCGCATATACACAATTACTATCTTGGTTTGTGCATTTCGCAAAGTGGCCATACAAAAAAAGCTTTTAAGCAAAGAAAAAGAGTGAACAAAGAGCTTGTAAGCAAGTGCCATATAATCGTACCACATTGCATAAGATTGTCATATCCGATCATCTAGGATCATACCACCGGAACATCATATACATAGCATACTCGGAATAGAAGTCGTTGCATTTTTGTCTCCTATAGGTTGTGCACAAGTGTCGTATCCGCCTATTGAGCAATCGTGCTAGCGTCTCTCTAGAGTTGTGCAACAAGAGCATTTTCCGTGGATTCCACATTTTGAGCTCATTCCTTGGTTGCACGACCCCATTTATCTATCCGTGTGTGTGTTTCCGTGTGCCACATATAGGTTTTGGTCTACTTGTTTCACTTGCGAATTTGTGAAACTCTTTCAACATTATTGACTCTTGCTAACATTTTGCATCAAATTTTTTGTGCCACTATCCTCACCGAGCTCCACCATAAGCCTTACTTTGTAGGTTTGAGAAACCGACAAGAATTGGTACCAATTGTGCTATTTCCTTGTCCACATTGGAGTGATCATTGATCCACTTTCAACTTCGGTCAAGGTACATCTGGTATTCGTTCTTCTCTTTCTACCACTCACATTTTTCACTTGGAGTGATGGATAGGCAAGTCATTTCATCTCCGGTCTTCCACAACAACGACGGCGTGAACAACTACATCACCAAAGCGTCAATTTTCGATCTACAACGACAAATGTAAGGCGCACAATCAAGATTGCGAGAGCGCATCGAGAACCTCTCCATCGACATTGGACACTCCAAAGCAAGGAAAATGGACTACATCGACAACAAGCTTTCCGCACAAAAGGAGGATCAAGATGCAAGGATGGAGGAGATTCGGGCCTTGATCAACCGTTCTTCCCCTTCATCATCCTCAAGTCGGCGACGTTCAAATCGATCATCTTCGGAACGCTCAAGAGATACAAGTGCAAGTCGTCCACGTCCACATCTCCATGGCAACCACCATCAAATACGTGATCCACCTCGTCATGAAGGGCAAGTCACCTCCAAGCAACATGTGCACAACGACGACCAACGACATCTACTACGAGCTCAAGTGCGACAACGACACCATCATCATGATGATGCTCCACAAGCGCAAACCTACAAGTCCCAACAAACCCTACTTCACGCCAAGGCCAAGCTTCAAGAGCAAAAGAGAAGACCGCGAGACGAGCACCACCAAGACGGATCTACGACTACCACCACCACTTTGGCATCTTCGCCAAGTGCTATCAAGGCATCTTCGCCTTTGGATGTACGACATCTTCGCCTACTTCTCGTGAGTTCGCCTACATCGACATCATCAAGTACAAGGCGACCACCTACAAGCAAGGGTGACACTTCCATCTTCGGAAGCCCCTCAAGGAAGATGGCCGAGCATGGGAAATTCCCTTCGGTCATGGAGACGAGCTATGAGGTGCCACATCATATGGACCTCCTACAACAACAAGACGGCGACGAGAAGGTCGAGCAAGGGCCATCCCCTTCGACCACGGTGACGAGCATGAACCTCTTCAACAACATGAAGACGACGCCCATATTAGACTCATTCTCTGAGTCAAGCTACGGGACCGCACATGAGACCTTATATTTGGTCTTAGAGGAGAGTGATGATGTGCCATCTTCGGCCTTCATCCATGGCTACGACTACGACGTGATTGAGCATGGAGACATTTGCACCAACATCTCTCTGACACCGACATGTGACGAGATGCCCCAATTGCCATGTGAGGAGAGCCACCACCACATGAGTGACATGAGTGACTCCACCACACGTGACATTGAGAGCATTTCCTTTGAGAGGATGAGTGTGACCACCACTAGCCCCACACTT